CAGGCAAAGATTACTCCATCTGATAGCGGAAAGTTAACGGCACAACGCGCCAGTCTTTTCAGCCACACTGTATAGCTGAAACCATTGCACATCATCAGTAGCTCATCACAGTCGCATATAGTACTTTCATTCATTGAAAGGAGGAACTATGTACGAGCAACGATCGTTAAAATCACTTGAGAATCTCAGGTTTTACTAATCATTTTGCAAACTAATTCATGGTGTCTTTTAATTAGGAAAAGGAAGCATAGTTTATAAGATCATAGATCATAACAGAAGATCTGTTGTTATGTAAGTTTTCGAGAATGTAAAGCAAGTAAATGCCTATACTTCTTATGAGCTCAATTTTTTACTTCTTTCCTCCTCGACCTGAACAGTGCGTCGGACCAAACCCATGAAAATCCATGATTAAAGTCGTTGATGCGAACACTCACAACACCTCGTAACATGCAAGGAGACTAGTTTTTGCGGATTATCACGGTTTAGGGTACTAGTGGTCGTGCTTGCTTAGCCTGTACACCGATAATATAGGTCAACAAACAATAGAATCTAGCATATAATACACGCAAAGCGGAGTTTACGCATTGCTGACTACTCATTTTTTGGAATAGTATGGTTTGGTAGTGGGCGGTTAATGCGATTTGCGTTGACAGCAGCACCTTTTTGAGGCGCCGTTCACCCAATTCTCGGCTTCCATGTTCCGAACCTTCCGCGGCCTTCTCATGTCTCTGCTTTCGAATATGAAGTCGCGAATCCGCGAAAACCCTGACATACCCCATTTCGAAGATTGGATGGGCGCATGCAAATAGGCGGACACGAGGGCCCTCATGCATCTTCGTCATCCTGAGGCGATTTCTTAACTTTCAAAGCGACATTTTGCGCCTCGACTTGGGCAATAACTTGATAGGAGGTCCTGCTATCGTAAGCTGCCAAAAGCTCAAGACACCTAAGTAGGGTGGAGGTGCCTTTAAAACTGAACGTACAGACTTCTAATGCGGCCTATGACCATTCACGCGCAAATGTTGTCGACTCTGCAAGGATAGAAAACTATTGCTATGATTCCTTTGAGACTAGGTGACTCGATTCTTTGTAAGCATTGTCTAAAGTTTGAGCGTGTAGTTGACAAGTTCATACTTGTGTTTCACCTCATCTAACAATAAGATGTCACACTTGAGAACCTGAGCGAAACAAGTTCAAGCTTGTTCAAACAATGTCTGCAAATCGTGTTCAAGTCTTGTAGTCTCAAATAGGTGACAGGTCCGACTTCTAACACATTTGTCTTTATGTCATAGGGCATTCACCGAAGACTCGGGCACATTTCGCGTACTTTGCCAAATGATTATCTTGTTTTTATCTAACATTTAATAAACTAATGCCTGAATGGAAGATAAAAGACGATCTCTAAATTGTTACTTACGCTTTCATGTTTTTCTTGCTCATAGCTTATGTCCTGCAGTTCTGTGTACAAAGATGTAATTCGACTTTCTATCTTCTGGTCTCGCATCGAAATCAACTCAGATATTGAAAAAAAGTGCTGAATATGAAATCCCTGATTCATGTTCTGATCAAAATCGTTTGGTGATTTTTTTTGCGTTTATTAGGTTGATCCATAACTAATGCAAATTTTTCGTACTTCTTCTTTGAAAGACTGGTTTTAAAGGGGAATCAACCATCTCAAAAACTTTCATATCGTATCTTTCCATATCTTTTGAAAAAGCATTTCATCTAGTTTCTTACGAATGCCTAGGCTTTCGTGAATTTTTGTAGATTCTTTTTTAAGTTTTGAGTTTTCTAAGTCAATAAACTAAATCTCGTTCTCATTTCTTTCGTTCTCTTTGCCCTAATTCCACGAATAATCATCAAATTTATTTCATATAATATGCATAACTATTGCGAAGCCTTATGCTACAGCTACTTCCTTAACTAAAAATTTTGAAATTCAAATTGAGAAATTTCTCTGCAAACGTCCTTGAGAGCATTTTGGGTCTTGCAAAATCGAAAGCAAAAAGCGATTGCAAACCTTCCGCATTACGCAACAAGGGTAAACCCTGTACACTTAATGATATGAAAGCAGTAGGGTTTTCCACTTTCCAGTACAGAAAAATTAATAATTTCAAAAAAGGCAGTTTTTTGAACCTGCCGAGCCCAAAAAAGTGGGTACTTTCGAACTTTCTGCCATATTTCAACCTGCAACATTTCCGTAAAATTTGAGTTTGGCACCACTGCTTATCCGGCCATTGCGAGCAGAATGCGCTTTATCCTACTATATTTCAATGAAATAAGATTTTCCAACCTAGAGATTTCTAGGAATATCTATTAGCAGTTTTCGTGCTGAAAATCTTTCTCGTTATGCTCACAGTTCTACAAAGTTTCTGCGGTAGTTTTTACTGTGCCAAGAAAAATCGTTTCAAACAGGCATTTGATTCAAACTGAATCATAGAAAACTTGCATTTATTATGAATCAACCTAATATTTTAGGACGTAGTACTTCAATCCTTTTAAGGCAAAAATAGCCATTTTGATGGGCCTTATACATTGAAAAAAGTTGTTATTATCTATAAGGTAAGCTTTTGATCGTTCCTTGAGACTAACATTCCAACATTTCGTGTTCTTTCTGAGAAAATGAAAGCATTTCTCAGCGAAGCCTTTTCTTTTTTGCAAAAATTAATTTTGTTTGCAAGTCACCTCTTTTTTTTTCACAAATAGATAGGAGAAATAAACTTTTCTAGTTTTGCCGCCGTACGACATAGATAGACAAGCTGCCCATCACAAGAGAAGGCATTTCTCATCAAATGAGGTTGAGAAGTCTAATGGCTTGCACTTCAATGCTTTCCCTTCATTTGCAAAATGTGTTGAGGAAAATCGTATCGAGATCTTATTTCCTATTTTCTTCTATTTTCTCTTTTTTTATCTTATCTTATTTGTAGAAAACCCTCGTGAAACAATATTTTATGATCCTCGTTGCACTGCAAAAGCAAACAAATCATCTTTGCATGAGGTCTTTTCCAATTCTTATTGGAAAATTCTCTACATTCCCAATTCAGCAATTAATGCGGTATTAGTGTTATTCAGCAGTGCTAGGTTTGTAAGTGTATAAGTTTGAAAAACTTTTATCAGACGGAAACACACGCTACTTCGATTTTGCTACATAACATTCCAGAAATGTTGCTGAGCACCACAACGCCAATATATCCAAATTGTTCTTGTATAATAGTTATGGGGAGAAGTGAGCATTATAATTTTTTTTGTTTGTCTGCTTTTGATTTACGGCTAGCAGATGGATCCATGTTGTTGTCGCTGCAGAAACACTTCTTTTATGAAAAGGAAGCGTTTGAGAGCTAATTTGATTACTCAAAATTTTTTATGGAAATGGTTCATAATATGAAATTCGTCTTTGGCTCTTTTCAATTTACGGCGAGCAAATGGGTTCGCATCACCTCGTTGCAAAAATTACTTCGCTAGTGTTTTAGCGAAAAGCGTTTGAGAGCTAATTTGATCACGCAAGTCTGTGGATATGGATGGAGGGAATAACCTAAGTGTCGAAACTGTGCACAACTAGATATTTTTGTTATGAGCTCATCATTTCTATGGTATGTGTTTGTGTGGACTTCAAACTTATGCTTTTTTAATTTTCTTTCTTCCTTTCGCCTGCTATTTATTAGAGTGGAATGGTATTTGCTAGGGCCTCAATCATTCTCAATTTGAAGGCACGTCCACTAAACTGGGGGTGCTAGTTTTGATGCTGTATAAAAGCGGGCCCCTAAGTAGTCGCTAAAGTCCCGTTGCAAAGGATGAATGCCAAAACGAGAAGCTTCAGTTTTTAAAAGCAGCGATGGTGTCCGCTTATCAGCATGGGTGGTCTATAGATCACAAGTCCAGAAGTAAGTTTCAGTGTTTCTAGAATTGTCATAAATCCACCCTTCATCACGATTTCCAAACTTACGGCATCATCCACCCTGAGGCCTATTTTTGGGCTTGCTTTTTTGAGACCCTAATGTTGATGGGCGGGGCCACCGTCGCCCTGTGAGTATTCAGAAGATCCCTTCCTGCTTCGAAATTCACGTGCAGGGTGATTGGGACCATTATTTATTGTTGGAGAGACTCCTATTATACAGCATCAAAAAGCATCAAAATTCTACTACAGCCTCATTTTCGGTGGGAGGTGCCTTTGAATTTTTGGCTCATTTCTGCAGCAAGATGATCTATCAAGGCATGCCCGACTACCTAGTCAATTATTAGTCGGAAACGAAGCGTGAGTAAACACGGCCTTAGCACTATTCCAATATATGCATCAGGTCCACCAAACCTTCGTTCAATATGCAAGCGCCTCCCTCGTGCGAGTTTGCTGGCGATTTAGCTCAAACGAACAGACCTGTACCCGTCATTGTTATTCCCCGAAAGCCGGTGAATTTTTTGACATCATTTACCTGATAATGTATGCACGAACACTTCGATTCGATCGAAAACCCGTGTTCGCACTTTGCACAGAGGCCGAGTCCGAGATCGAAGGTCGTTCGTGACCACATTAGAGTCGATAAGGTCGTGCATTTATGTTTGTACACTGTGTGCAAACTTCGTATCTCGGACTTGTTCTAGTCAAACAGTCGCCAAGAGATACCTAGTGTCAGTTTCTTCCGACTCATTACTTCTGTATCATTTGTTGCACTCTCTACCCGTTGAAATGAAATAGTGTGCTTGTTTTGCTTGGAAAGCTCAACTTTGGTAACACTCTTATTTTCTCTCCAGTAAAGTACCCATAGATTTCAAATTTTAGGACGAGTACTAGTTTTCTTTTTCCCTTTCTCCTTTCCTTTCTTCTCAATTTTATTCTCCTCTTTTTCGTGCTTCATAGTGTTATTCGAAGCTTGAAAGCTTAGCCACCACTAAGCACTGTTCAATAATTCATCTCTCACCCTCTCGAATGTTTGTAAAAGGCTTAGCGTGCCCATAATTCTGGCCTCGACATGACCTATTGTTTATCGTGTATGAATTGCTTTAGAATGCCAGTTGAGTACAAGTTTTACTACTTCCCTGGACGAGGCTTGGGTGAAATTTCTCGACAGGTTTGCTAAACTAATATTTGTTATATTTAACTAGTCCTTCTGGCTTAGGAGCAAATTTTACGCGTTTTTGAGTTCCAGATATTCGCTTTGGCAGGTGTACAATATGAGGATATCCGCATCGATAAGGATAAATGGCCAGAGGTCAAACCTTGTGAGTCTGCGAATCTCACATTGGTTAAACCATCATCCGGGGGCTGGATTTAGCAATCCAACAGAAATCAGCTTAAGCATCCTAGCTGCTGCCGATCTCAACTATGGGTTATTTTGAACTGAAAAGAAAGCGTGTAGGGATACGCGCCAACCAATGGTGGAGGTCTGAGATAAGAAGAACAGCTACTATTGGCTGACGCGCTCCTCTTTTCTGAGCAAGACTTGGGATGGTGACATAAGATTTAATCTTTTTTTGCTTTGGAAGAGATCTTTCTTTCCAATAATGGCTAATCCCTGAACTATCTAAACCTTCATTTTTTAGTGATGCCTTTCGAGCAAATGCCAGTGCTCGAAGTCGATGGACAGCAAATTCCACAGTCACTGGCTATTGCGCGATATCTGGCACGAAAATATGGTTTGTATTCATTTACTTTTTCCTAGAAAAAAAGGGGGCATTGTTAACGAGCACCTTGAGGCTATGCTGGAAAAACTCCATATGAAGAAGCAGTCGTCGATGCACTTGCTGATCAGTATAAAGATTTTTACGTTGAAATCAAAGACTATTACTATCCAGCCTTAGGTCTGAAAGAGGGAGATGTGGTAAGAAATCTGAGCACCATCCCTTTTCTGGAAACTAATGCAAGTTTTCTTAGGAGGCCGCCAAGAAAAATATCCTGATCCCAGCTCGTGACCGTTACCTCGGTTACATGACAAATTACCTCAAAAAGAGCAGCTCTGGTAGGGTTTCAAGTTCTACTACCGTCATTTACTCCTATAAATTTTGAAAATGAAGGTTTCCTCGCCGGTAACGAGCTCACCTATGCTGATCTTATCCTTGCTGAGCATATCTATACGATGCGTACCGTATTCCCCGAGTACACCAAAGGTTTCCCTGAGGTTTGTGCAAGTGCGGACGCCATCTGCGTTTCTAATGCTATTACTATTTTAGGTAGAAGAACACTACAACAAGGTCACCTCAATCCCAGCTCTCAAACATTGGATGGAATCTCGTCCAAAAACAAATTTCTGAAGTCTCCGTCACATGAAGACGTTTCCGCACATTCCTTGGCAAATCATTGCTTATTCAATCTTCTTATTTTGAAGAAATGCATGATATACAATACAAGTACAGAATAAATACTAAATCTTACACACTTTTACAATGGCAAGGCGTCCCTCAGCATGTCACCACTTATTCGCTTCACTCGCTTTTCCACCACCTCTTCAAGACGTTTCGTGGACGGACCTTCGTACTTTCGTCGTATATCATCCAAAATGGCATTCCACTCTTGCAATGAGGAGAATTCCATGCGATTGAAATCTTTCAGAAGTTGCATATGCGTTTTGAGCACATCGCTTGTAACGTGGTGCAGGTTTGTGGAGCAAAACTCTGAAATTGCAATTTATTCCAAAAAAAAATTGAGCGCAAGAGCCGAAAATATGAGCAGGGCTCGGCACGAGGTGGCTAGATGAAAATGGAAAAAACGAAGTCCCCCTTGACTTTTGGGAATTTTTACGAAGTCCCCTTTGACCCTCAACCAAATTTCCTCTAAAAACCTGAAAAATTCCCCAAAATCCCCCAAAAAACGAAACGTCGACTAAAAAAAAAGGTCGCCGTCGCCAATTTTCCGTGTCTCTTCGGTCACAAAAACGAAACCCCCTTTGCTTTTCGTCCCAAAAACGATACCCAGCTTGCTTGTAAGCCACCTCGTGCCGAGCCCTGAATATGAGGCCAGTTTGAAAGCCTTTTCTGCTTTCTTATCCGTATTCCAACATTCTACAGTATGAAAAAAGCTGGAGGATCAAAATGCACATGAAAGTGGTGTACGCAGTTTCCAGGTCTCAAACTCAAAACTTCCAAAATCTTTTCTTCAAAAAAATTCTTGTTTGAAATCGCCTCTCGTAACTCATTTTTCTACTGTCAGTGAAATTCTGCTTATAAGGTGTCGTGCTATCTGTCATTATTCTATAAGCTCTTGAAAATCGTAACTTTTTTAGCAACACAAAATCAACTTTCATTCAAAAACCATCAAAAATCAAGATTCTCCGCAGAAAACGTTAGGAAAAACCAGTTCTGGAAGAATAAAATTGCCAAACAAAGCATAGGTTTCCTTATCCCTCATATGCTGGTGTCTTCAGAACCAGTATAAAAAGAGAAAATGGGAAAGACACACAACGCGAAAATGAATCAGTGCAAAGCTTAGTTTTTTGATGCTGGTCAAGTTAAATTGTTTCTACCACATCTGATAGAACTCCCAAAAAAATGGTACTGAAATCCAGATCTTTGGCTAATTGCTTTGACTTTCAATATCCACTTAGATGGTCAAAAAATTGAATATATGACAATTGTGGTGAGTTGGTAATTTAATGCGAGGAATAAGCTGCCCTTTTTCTCGTGTAGTTTCTATATTATTTTGCAGTCATACAACTGCGGGGTTTTTTTTGAAAACGCTCAGCTATTGTTTGAATGCCACTCTTTATCCTTCAACATCGTGACCACCATCTACTGAGCATTTTATAGTGATGTCGCTCTCTCACAATCATAATAGCAAACTCTTGCCTTGCTGAATGAGTTTTTTGAATCGATAAATTACCTGGTGATCTTCTTATCCGCGAGTTCCATCTGAATTCCTCAGTTTGTGTACTGTCCTCCACAAGTTTCCCTTTTGCTATCTGGCTGGGTTCGTATGAATGCCGCCGCTCCCTCACGTGCTTGTCTTCGCTCGTTCTCCTCTCTTGTGCACTGGATCTGCGGCTCCTTATTTGGGCTTGAGGGATCCTGGACCGTGAATGGTGCAAATTCCTGTCAGTGTCTGTTCCCTCATCGCTATCACTTCTTTTGCTCTTGTTGTGAGAGCGTGAATGGTGCGCACTTCTGTCACTGTCTCTTCTTTGCGAGTCATCGCTTTCACTCCGCTTACTCTTGCTCATCCACTTTTTCGACTCTTTCTTATCCTTACTGCTTTTCTGTTCGATTCTTTCATCAATAGTAGCTTGCTCGCTATCGGATTCGAAATCATCAGAGCCGCTATATCGCGCTTTTGTGCTTTTGGAACCTCGTCTGCCCTGTGTACTACTTTCCGAGCTTCTTCTTTCTTTTTTCTTGCTCTGCGGTCGTGGCGTTTCCTCCTCTGTCGATGATTTTTGTGATACACTCTTCACCGTGGAAGACTGAAATCAAAGTGGTAATAATAGGAGTTGAAGTAAATAAAAAGAAATAAAAAGGAAATAAAAAGTAAACAAAGAATAAATCACCTTAGAAGAGGTAGAGGCAGAGCTGCTTTTAGATTTTGAAGAAGAGCTGGAGCTGCTAGATGTTGAAGTGGACGTGGAATGAGATGAGCTGGAGGTACGAGACGTTGAAGTTTGTGAACTAGATGAAGGTGGAGTTGCCGGCTTTGCTTCTTTGAAGTGTACTGTCTTAACCGGTGATGTATCCTCCTGAAGAGCTCATTACGTGTTCAACTGATTAGTGTTTTGTTTTTATGCAGAAAATATAGATGTAAAAATAGTGCGACTAAAGAAAAAATTCCATGACCGTCTCGAGACCCATTTTTTCCAACTTTCGAGGAGTTATAGGCAAGTTACGGCAAGGTTGAGGGACTATATGCCGCCTGAGAGGGATGGTCCCAAGCGGACATCTGCGACAAACCGCGCAGTTCCACACATCGCAGGCGCACAGATTTGTACCAGCTGCTCGCGCAGGTGGAGCCTATCGGCGACATATAGTCCTCTACCCAAATTACGGCAACATATATTACATCCTTCGTGAATTCAAAACTACCGATGTAAAAATTCTCTTTCGCCTTTTCGTTATCTATGTTCGTCCCCTATTGGAATACTGCACTCCATTATAGTCTCCCTCTGAGAAAACCCTTATTGAAATCATAGAAAGAGTCCAGAGATCGTTGCCAGAATTTTTGCCCGAGCTGGATTATTCCGACTGTCATACAAATCTAGGCTCTCTATTCTAGCCACTACTACTCTTGCTTTTAGAAGAACCCTTTGCGACCAGGACCTTGTCTTCAAAATGATTACCAACAGAATTGAATTAGAACTGCATGATTTTTTCAGTCTATTGAATTTCAACAATTATACTAGAGGACACATGTTCAGGCTTGTAGTAGGGAATGTGAGGAACCAGCATTTCTACAACTCCTTCTTAGGTGTGTTATCAAAACATGGAATGTGCTCCCAGTGGAAGCTATCACCGCGAGATCTACATTTGTTTTCAGTAGAGAACAAAAATTTTTGAAATCACAGGGATTATTCTGACCACCATTTTCCAGGAAAGTTTTGAGATTTCGACGTTCCTTTTCTCGGCAGCGAATTCTGACTGATGTATGGTTTGGTCTCCCAGAAACCGAATCCTTTCTGCGCTATGCTCGAATGTTCCGTCTTTTCTGTTTCCCCAAGTCAAAAAAGTATCCACCTCAAGTAATACCTCTACCATTTTTGTGTATTGCAGTTCTCTTGAATTATCTCTTTTTTTGCTTCTATGTTCTCCTGATTACCATTTCGTTCTTTTTTTCGTGTTAAGCATCCCTCTCTTCCGAGGATTTTTATTTATATGTTCCTTTCTTTGCATTTCTCTTATGGTTATTTCGAAAACCTTTTTTTTTTCTCTGGGTTATGGCCAGCTAGCCTTTGCACCCGGTCTCGCTGGCTCCTAAACGGGGGGTATCGTTTTCGAAAGACATAAAAGATTTAGGTCGACCGTTGATCTTCCTCGTCTAGAGTCACTTGATGTCGACTTCATATTTTAAATAAATAAATAAATAAATAAATATACGACAGCAATATGTAATTTAAAAATGTGCGTAATTAGTAGGCTCTACAGGGGCAGATTACGTGACGTCTCTCCTGATTTAAGCTTACCTCAAAATCAATCGACTCAAGGTCGCTACCACTTTCGACTGCAGGACGGAATGGGCTTTTCTTCTTGACAGGATTGAGATTCACTTTGATCTCCTGCAAATTAAGGCTTTTTTTAGCATGATGATTGAGCTGCAGCGATAACGAAAAATGGCAATACATGCGTTAAGAATGGCGTACCTTTGGTTCTTCTTCCACTTCCAACAAATGCTCAGAATCAGCGTCTTCCTTGTTGGAACTAGTGCTAAGACTTCGTTTCGTTTTCTGTTTCTGTACTTTCGGAGGTTTTATGAGAGAATGATCGATAGAAGATCGTAATTCGCGGATGTCGTGGATACTTTTCCTTTTGTTCAGCAAATCTTAATTAGGGACTTATTTTCTTCGGAATAATAATTAGTAGTGCGTATTTAGAATTGCCAGCTTCTAAAGATAATAATTCAGAATTCACCTGGTAATTGCTCGGAGTGCTCGCCGCTTTCGTTGTCATCTTCCTTATTCGTATCGTAGGGGAAGTCAAAAACTATTCTTTCGCCATCAGCTAGAAGAGCTTTTGCATAACATGGTTTTCAGATTCCATATCTTACCGCTGGAATGACTATCGATAGATGGTGTTTCATCAGAGTCGCGGCTACTATGTCCAGACATACTGAAAAATTGTAAGATGGCAGAAGCTATATCACGGAACTTTTAGCCAACTTAACAATCGCGACTTACTCTTTGTCGTCTTCAGATTCCTCGATTGTCGATTCATGCCTAGTTCTGTTTCTCAGTTGTGAGATCATCGAAGACAAAGAGCCGCGTCCGCTGGAGAGTCGAGACTCGATAGACGCATGCTGACCGCTTGTGCTCCTTAAATACGTCATTTGTACGTCAACTTCAATTTCTGAAAAGAAGCAGCCTACTTCCGATCTTCTGGCTGGCTTTCGCGCAAAGCTTTTGTTGCTTTGCCAAGTGATTGGAGGTAGCTCTATAATCATATGAGTTCAATACATAGCATGTTCTACAGTTTTGTTTCTCCAGACTAATGCTGCCATATGCAGGCAATGTTGTGCCTGATGTTGTTCTTACAAGGGAAGGGCACCTGGTCGAAGTGTCGTTTTTATATGAGATGTACGCTATCTAATAGAGCATGGAACTCTGGTTCAAAATCTGTTCTCGATATCTGCGAAGCACTTTTGGGAGAGATGTTCCGGAAATTCTTTGAGATAATTCAGTGATTTGGCTAAATCAAAAATAGTGTTGAGGTCTTCCGGCGTTTGAAAGGAGTAATGACTGACATGAGCTAATTAATTTGAAGGTTCTTGCTCCATAAACGCCATGATAGTAGTAATCATGGCCCCATTTGAGCTGACGGACTAAGATTCTGAATGATTTTTTGTTGCGGCGCTTTCAAATTTTTGCATCATTCCATAGCTCTCCTCCAAGAAGCGCTTTGCAGATACCGAAAGTAGGTGTGAAATCAGAGTTCCATGCTCTATAAGATAATATACATTTTGTATGTAGGCGCCACTTCGACTGAGTATCCATCCCTTGATATAAGGTCTCATAAGTGTCGAGAATCAAATAAAGGCTTTCAATGCCTAGAACCTGAACGCAGAGCTCAGCATGCTACCCAAAGATGGGTTGGTGAATAGATAGAATGTGTGAATGCACGCTCAGGAAGGAGCTGGCCATAAGGTCGAGGTACAGTTTCTGTATTTTTGCCAATTTTTTTTTTGATTGGAAAGAATCTTTCTCGCGCAAAAAGAGTACATTTTGAGTAAATTTATCAAAAGGTTTCGTTGCGAAGTTAACATCTTGGCAATAGTGCAGTTGCACACCTTAGCCAAGAGCTCTATCCGACTAATCAGTTTTCGCTCAAAAATCCTTGACAATTCCACGTAAATTTTGCAGATAGGCCCCAGGTGTTCTTGAAATTGGAAAAAGAGAGTAGTGCATTGTCATTTACAGTCTGTCAAGGAAAGCAACGGTATTGTTTCACCATTTCATGTATTGACAGTCTGTTGTTTTTGAACATTACTTGCAACCTTGAACCTCAATAGAAGCGGCTACCTACCGCAAATATGGACTTACTAAAGCGGATTGCGATAAATTGCCAGCTTCCTTCGTAGCACTCATTTGTAAGCTAGGATTGGCACACTTCAGCACCGGGTTTCGCCGGCCTCTCAGCTAGAATCAATTAAAAGAGTAACATATGTAGTGCCCAGAAAAACGATTAAAAACGTGTTTGATCACCAGTAACTCTATTTCTGTTACTTCTTGAACTTAAGTGCCATTTTGTAAAGCGCCTCAAACATAGATGTCATAGCAGAACGAACCAATGATCCGTTACTCTAGGATCGGAGTATGACGATTGCAAAAAATGGGCTCTTAATGGTCAAATTCTGATCCACAAGGATTCCAAAAACCTTGGGACTTTGTCACTTATTAAGTGAGAGCAGCTGATTTTCGAATGCAAATTTCCTAACGCCTAGTCCGAAAGTTACGGTAAGCGCCACACCAGCGGTTTTTTTCTATATTCTTTAAAGACGTAATTAGCTAGAATCAATACCAATTATACCATTTATACCACAACATAACGACTTCTCACACGCTTCATTTTGAAATTTGTTTTGTTCATAACGCTATCATAAAAGTTTCCAATTCCGTTTCCTAAATCAATAACGTTCCCAAGTAGGAAAAACTTTTCAGTAATTCTCTTTAGCCTGTAAATCTGAGTTGAGGTCAGCTTCACATAATGGTGCCTAAATTTCGGAGGAATGCATCGAGATGAGATGATTATGAGCGATCAAAATATGTGCATAAGGCCCCGGCCAGACTTCACGCGACTTGATCGTCGCGACTGAATCGCGACGAGACAACTGTTACAACATCATTCCACGCCGATCAACCTGCATTCGGTTGTGATATTTTTCCAGCCTTAAATTTTTGAATGTGAAATGAAAATGAATGGAAATCTTGGCGATTAGATCGCGACGATTAAGTCGCGTGAAGTCTGTCCGGGGCCTAAGGCATTATGCACATATGCTAAAGGAACAACGTCTGGTTCAGTTTTCTTAGAGATTGGCAAGCACGCCAACATTTTCCACAACATTTTCCAAGCGAGAGATTATTCTTTTTTGAGATTATTTAGGAGTGATAAATTGACAAAAGAAGAACGATGAGTGAAGGCATTTGTAACTTTTATTCATTCATCATGCTAGAAATTGCATTTTTTTCAGTTAAATGAGGGAAACAAGAATGAGCGCACAAGCCAAAACTTCTGGTCTTGTATTGAAGTCTACTTGAGTTTAACTATATGACAGGAGCAACACTAAAGCTAACTGTTTTTTTTTTGTCTTTTACTAAATCGAATAACATACGATAATGCGACTTATTTCGGACAATGTGAATAGATCTTTGAACTTAGGAATTTACAAACAATATGGTGCAAAAAACAACGGGATTGCGCGATGTTGCTGATAGGTATTCGATTTGGCAACCTTCGCGCAACTCACATCCAACGACCGCAATTCGTTGCCTAGCGACATGACATCTGTTTGTGGCTTTTCTAATAGTGAGCCTGTTAACCAATAGCGGCAAAAATTGCAAGAATGTGTAGAGATGCTCTTGAAGACAGTGTCCCGGCAAATTTTCGCTCCCCGGTTTTTCACTTCTTCGGAGCCTTCTCGCCATGCTGAAGCCATATCTAAACTTTTCAGCGCTTAAAAATGCCATAAATGAGCTTTTCCGAAGCTCTTCGTGTCCGCGTTCGCTCCAAAATGTAAGTGGACGGGGTCCGGAACGAGTGGGCGTAGTCCTCGAGATTTCCAGAGCCGATTATGTGCTTTTCAAACGCGCTTTTTCGCTCCAGACTTAACTGATAGATTAGTTTAGGGTCTACCATTGCAACATTGTAAAATCTCCATACTCGTCATTTTGTCGGAACGCTGCCTCTAAAGCACAGCAAAAATCAGCAATGTAATGGAACTTTATGTACATGTTAGCTAGTAAGCCTGGCTCCGCCCGTTCTGTCAATAAATTCGTAATCAGCATGATCACCTACCTCCCCCCCCGTGCTAACTTCTGCCAGTAGCCCAAACTCCGCAAAAATCGATATCGATCAGTGACGAAAAGTAGCCTGCGACACCCGCCCTGCCCCCGAAGGGTTGCACGTCAGGAGGTACGCCGCGCGCGGTGGCCGCTCTTCCGCACACGCCGCGCGCAAATCTTGGGGCCTCCAAGACTCCCCACCAATAGAGATTCCGGCGGCAAAAACAGGGGGATGAGGGTGGGGGCAGATACATTACTTGATACTATAAGTAAGACTGCGCCAGAAATGCAGCTGTTGTAAGGGTTGAAGTACGTTGCGGCATCGCTTCGGGTTGTTTCAGACTGCCGCACTGACTGCAGCAGACTGCAGCAGACTGCAGCAGACTGCAGCAGACTGCAGCAGATTGCAGCAGACTGCAGCAGACTGCAGCAGACTGCAGCAGACTGCAGCAGACTGCAGCAGACTGCAGCAGACTGCAGCAGACTGCAGCAGACTGCAGCTGACTGCAGCTGACCGCACTGACCGCACCGGTCGCAGCCTCTTTTTCAAAAGAAAACAACCGCGGCTACCAAAACAGCGTGATTTACGCATAAGAAGATCATAAATTCCATCAGAATTCTTCTCAATCAAATTTTGGCGGTAGTTTCTTTGGTATGTTCGTATTTGTTCTAATTTCTCCTATTATTGCATATACCTGTTTTGTAACATTCTAAACCGTGTTGTCTTTTGCTTTTACGTATATATTGTTGTTGTTTGTTTAAACCACAACTATTCATCCTCTCCGCCTGCATGCTACAGCCGCTGCGGTCGTTGCGGTCAGAGCGGTCAGCTGCAGTCTGCTGCAGTCTGCTGCAGTCAGTGCGGCAGTCTGAAACAACCCTTAGGAAAAGAGGCTGCGACCGGTGCGGTCAGCTGCAGTCAGCTGCAGTCTGCTGCAGTCTGCTGCAGTCAGTGCAGTCAGCTGCAGTCTGCTGCAGTCTGCTGCAGTCAGTGCGGTAGTCTGAAACAACCCTTAGAGCGCGATATTTAACAAAAGGAGAAGAAATGAAGGCAAAAAACAAAGGAAAGGCAATGATATGAAAATGTCTTCATGCTCAGGGATAGATTTTTGACCGGGGAATCCGTCCATGCTAAAAAGATCCGAAACTTATGTGAAGTGACGAAAATATATGCTTCAGACAACCTCAGATCTTCTGATGGCCGTCTGGAGACGATCTATTGTGGAAAAGGTATTACTTCACATAAGTTTTCAAATCTTTTTACATAATCCTTTCGCAGATAATTTTCTATACATACAGTTTCATTTTGGTGTCATATGCTTCTGTGTGCGCTGTAAACAAGCAATGTGTTTATTTAAGCCTTGCTTTCAAATCGCTCGCACTTTTCGCCATGCACGATAGAGCATATCAATTGTGTGATAACCTGTCCGAAATGCTTGTGTTCGACTAAATGGCGCTTATTCTCGGTGCTCGGTTCCGACTCTCAAAAAGATATCCTCTTTGCTGCTTGCTTCAAAGACGATCTCTGCCGGGCCCTGACATGGAAACTACACATTTTGACAACTACCACTGCCAATTTATGGAAGTCACAAAATTTTTCAATAAGACGGAATCATTCAATTTTGATGTAGTTAGATTTACTCATGATTCGTCATAAGTGTAGCATCAAAAGTGCATTGATATTAGGTCGATGCAAAAATGATGAGCGTTTTGCAAATTGACACCTTGACTTGCTATAACTTTCCAAAAAATTTACATTTGTATACGGGGTAGAAGTCATCAGAAGCACCTAACTTTTCGCAACATAGCGCACATTATATTCGTACCACAAAACAGCAGAAAAATAAGGATTGAAAAACAAAAAAGTTTTTAAATGGGCCAGCGATTAGCACCCATGTTAGCAATATGTTTCATGAGCAAAGTAGAAGAACCGGTGCTATCCCGTGCCCCGCTTATGTATTCTCGTTATATCGACGACTGTTGCATAGTCACGTCGACAAAGTCCGAAATGAACGAATGTTATCGAATATTGAATCAACAGTCAAGATACATAAAGTACGAGAGAAGAACCGCGCGACGATTGGCTACCGTTTTTGAACACACAGCTGATGTTGAGCAATGGAGCGGTGCACATAAAATGGTTTCGTAAAGACTGTAATAAGAACATAATCTTGCACGCAAAATCTGTCAAACGAGCCGTCGTACGTAATATGATCAAACCGGCGATGAAAATCTGCAGCGGTAAAGGGGAAAGGCAGGAGTCACTAAAGCTGGCAGCCGAAATAATAGCCTCGAATGGATATGTTATGCGACCCAGATGTTCAAAGAGAAAAATTTTAAAGACAAGCGAACAAAGTACCAATAGAGTACCGTTGTGCTTGCCTTTTATCTCCGAAAAGGTCACTGCCGCAGTCAAACAGTGTCTGATACAAGCACAGCTTGAGAAAGATGTCGTCTTAGTTAACATCCCGCGAGACGACATTAGAAAGCTGTTAATACGCAATAGATTGTACGATAAAACTTGTATCACAAGAGATTGCGTTGTGTGCCCATACGGACAATTCGGAGACTGTGCGAAATCTGGTGTTGTGTATCAAATCGAATGTGCGAAATGCTCTGCCATATATATATCAGTGAAACTGGGCGGCCACTGGGTGTGCGCATCAACGAACATCTAGCTAGCAAAAAGAGGCAAAGCTTGATTAGTCCACTGGGAAAGCATAGAATGATCGAACATAACGGTGTTGATTACGATGTCAGGTGCAAAATCTTGGCCCACGAACACCAAATTTCTGCACGAAAAGCCTTGGAAGGCTCCTATGTTCTTGCTCGCGAGCCCAAACTGAATAGCAAGAATGAGAAATCATCTATAACTAGTGACTTGATGCCGTATCTGTCGTACTGTAAACTATAAAATTGTGTGCCCTACTTAAGCAGCCCCACAGTAGCTTGGGTACTCATTTGACACCGCACTCGCCAAGCACATCCGGAGCGGCTGTTAGCTACAACATCGGTGATATACTTGGTGGGTGACCATCGCCCCAAACTCCCCGTTTCCACTCAAGACGAATCGAGTGGCAAGTCGG